AGATCAGATTCACGAAGTAAATGAGTATACCAATGCTTGGGTAGCTTCCAGGTATATGACAACGAGTCGTTCTCTCATTATCATTAACACATGTTCAGAGATCATTTACTCTACACCATTACAAAATTGATTTGGACGTGAATATCTTGTTTTTATTTCATGACCTTCAAAAATGCAGAAGGGTCAGGAAACTTAAAGTGAAAAGAGGATGCTAACAAAAGGGAAGCAGTCATATGGTACATGTATGATTGTGTATTTATGACCTTGGTGTACGTACGTGTACAGTAGTTTGTACATGTAGTTGATGTAAATGCACTGTGTTCTCGAGCAATAGGCTACAGCAGCATTATCATTCCATTGGAAGCAACATCATCATTTGGACTTCTTCACAGGAAGGAGGGGTGAATCACCAATTATTACAGACAGTAATGTCAAAAATAAAGAATATTTTGAGCATGACTAAACATTACATTAACGGCTTAGCCCAATGTCTTCAAATGCAGTCTGAATGTTTTATGTATCAATTTATAATACTATAAATGTATTTACACGTATATATCCAATCCATACATGTACATAGTGTAAGTGTATGAGTGCCCTGTTGTGTCAACTACAGAAGGTATGGAGATTGTACATGATGAGTGCATGTCCACAAAATAAGAAGTGTCTTCAGAGGGATTGGCTGAGTGTTATGAAGGGGAGCAGAAAAGACCAAAATCTAGATCCTAATTCCCGACAATCAAAGGGTAATACACCCGTAATGCCAGTGTCAATGTGCCACATACCACATGGGCTCTTTTTCACCACCCCCACCTCCTCGCTCTCTCTCTTCTTCTTTGCATCCTCCCTCCCTTCCCCCCCCCCTTCTCTCTTCTTCTTCGTCGCATCTAATTCCATGCGAACCGCATATTACAACAGAGCGCAACCCACCGTCACTGTCAATGGGCATATGGGCAAAACACATAAGAGCATTGAGTGAAATGTGATAGGGCAAGAAATTTGTCCATGCATAATTTATGTTGTGCAGTCAGCTGGCCAACTGCCAAACATTACAGTTGGATGGTCCAATGCAGTAAAGTGCATGTACAACTGCAAGGCTAGGCGAAAATGGACATTGGCCTTGTAAATAAATAGTCAGTACAAGACTCAAAGGGGGGGGGGGGGGTTGGGAGGAGGAAGAAAAACATAAATTGCCTTTGGCAATGTCAAGGTCCCTTTCAAATTCACATTGTGATTTTGAATTATACATGTATACTACCTGTATATATATTGTATAATGTAGAACTAGAAGAGAGATATTTTGTATCAAACATACATGTACATGTACATGATATGCATATCAAATGTAGATTTAAATTTTTTAATAAACCCGTTTCCATGAACAGGTTTATAGTCAATCCATACATTAACAAATATTCTTCAATTTACTGCAAGAAAACCAGAATAAAATTGCAAACTGAAATACAAGGAAAATCTCTTTACAAGTCCACATTGTTGCAAAGATGATATTTTTCAAGTTACAGTTATATCATACCATGGCAAACACCCAGATAAAAACACCTGAAAATTGTGAAAAATGGACCTTATTTCGAGAAAAATGACCCTTAAAAATGGGTAGGGGTTTCGAGGCTTCAACGGCACACCCCCGACCAAACAAAATTTGAGTAAAAAAAGTTTCAATGGGATGTCGGCGAACTTGTTCTTATGATGGTTATGTGAAACGATGCCCTGGTCACTTGATAGATGGGAAGGAATGGTCATTATGGGTAGGCCATAAGATCCCTTTGAGGTAAGACATTACGTATACTGCATGTAAAGAATTATTGTTGGTTTGGGGTTTACCAGAAATTTAGTAAACGACTAAACATGCATGCTAAGGGGGCTCCTTTTTATGTTTTATTAAATTATTCTATAGATAGATACAAAAAAAAATACCAGTAGTCACGTGACTGTTTTCCATTTTAGTCCTGGTTATAAAAAACCGTAAAAACAAAATATGAACAATTATGAAATGAGCGCTGATAACAATTTGAGTCCAGAATCACTAACTTTCACAGGGCTAATGGTATTGGCTCTAGGACCCGATGCAAATCATCTAATTTCTAAATGAGGTAAGATTTAATTTCAATGTCTCAGTGCTGTAAGTTAAATGACTTTGATGTCTACAATGTATTTCGACCTGGAACTGATATTGTGAATCAAAGAATCTGAAGTTGAAATTTTGCCAAATTCATATTTTAGCATATTTTCTACTTCAAGCAATGCAAAATGAATCTTTTTTTTTTGTCCCCAACTTAAATTTGGCATCGAGTTGATTTCCACTATGTGACCAATCAAGTCCAGTATCAGTAATTATTTCAAAACATTGTAAGCAACACTCTAGTTGTGTATCCCACCTGTCAATGCATTTATTGGTTCTTAATTTTTACTGGATAGGATGAGGAATGGAAGATGGCATGCACAGCACGTATCTTCCTGCTCTGCATAAAACTACTGAATACAGTGAAACCTGTCTATAGCGACCACCCAAGGGAAACACAAAAAGTGGTCTTTGTAGACAGGTTCCTTTAGTAGATTATTCAATGAGAAACCATTTTCAAGGGAAACGACAAATGTGGCCTTTGTAGACAGGTGGTCACTAAAGCAGGTTTGACTGTAGTACTAATTAACTCATTTAATGAAACCGTGAAAATGCATCTTTACCAACTTTAAAAGAACCTACATGTATGTGTACATGTATGTAAATAGCAAACTAAACATATTTCTGTATGATGAAAATGTGTTGAGGCATTTAACCTCAAGATTCTTGATACAAAAGATGAAAGTAAAGAACTTCTACTGTTGCGATTAATTTTCTTTCTCTTCCTGCTCTGAATAATACTGTATGTAGATATTGACTGAAGGTAAATTTCAAATTGTTCCACAAAATGAACGTGATACAATCTTGAAATCTAGTCTGAGTGAAGGAAAACAGATACATGTACATGCAAACATTTGTGTGCCAATGCAGTCTATGTGCACATAAGTCATGATGATGCTACAAATGTACAGTACCTTTGACAATAGTCTACTTTTTTTTCTTCTTTAGTACAGTCCATGCATCTTCCAAAATGCTAACAGTGATACATGTACATGTAGCTTACTACTGGTGCGGATCATCCCGCTATACTTACCAAAGTGATAAGTTTGACATCAAATAAAGTATGATTGTGTTTAAAACAAAAACATAAGTTTTCACTAGCAAAGAACATGTACTGTATGTTCCTATGTAGCAACATAATTATTGATTGGCTATGAAAAAGTATTTCATGTACATGTACTACAGTTTCTCAACTTTCATTTTTACCTTTATTTTTTAAAGGAGGATGCAGACACTATTCTAGTCCAATGGAAATTTACAAACATTTGTCATGCACCAATTCAACTGCTGTAAACAAAAATATATATACAATAACAAAAATACATTTTAAAAATATATATTTAAAAAAAATACGATTTCCCACAAGGCATTGTCTAGATTTTTATCACAGAATTTGTTTTTGAGACATAATACTACAATAATGCAAAAGAGTTAATTCCAAGAAAGAGATAATTCCAATCTGGAAAAATGTGCCAATTGTGAAAATTACTTGGATTTCTCTCATTTCTCTCTTTTACATTTTTTTTCTTATAAATTCAAAAACTGTAAAACATTTTTTTCCTCAACAGCAGCTAAAATCTATATGTACACAAGAACAAGAAACTAACATTTCTTTATATTTATCGACCTAGTACTACTTGTCATTACAGAAGCAATAGTAAATAGATACGAGAGTTGAAAGTAATTTTGTCCTTTCTTTTTTAGACATTAATTAAGACATTACAAACCTGTAAACAAAAAGTATCAAACGATCACAAACATATCACACAGATATAAAAAATAACATGCTTATGAACATCAAGCATTCTGGGCAAAGCGCACATCATACACATGTCAACCTTTCACACAAAGTAACAAATGTTGACAACAGACTTTAGTACACATTGTAGGCCTGGGCCTAGTCTTATATAGAGTTGCAAATTTATGTGAATCAATCAGTATCACAACTCTTCTTAATACAGGGACATATTAATTAGCATTATACCCCCCAACACACACACCTACCTCCAACAACATGGTTCACAGATTCAGGTTAAAACATTGGACATAATTGGGCTTGCTAGTTGCTACCAAGTTAGACAGTGCCACTTACTATTACGCAGACGTTGTCATTCTGTCTGGACATTGTGTATCCCGACAGTTGATTTAATTTATTCCATGCAATATTTCAAAAATCTTTTGAGAATTATTTTTAGAAAATATCATTAGGATGAATATTTATAATTGTTGGGGCTATTTGATGCATTTATTTTGTTTAATCCAACAACAGTGGCAAAGTTATGTGAAGGCTTTTATTTTTAGGCGTCTAGACCAGAGACCAGACACTCGAGCATCATCGTTTACAAATGTCAACTTTGGGACATCATGTAGCATATTATAATTATTATAAACAACCAACAAATAATGTCAGATTTTAGGTCAATGACTAATGATTATTGAACTGTTAGTGTACGAATGATTTATACACTACTGCGACTCTGACATTGACTGCACTCAATGCCTGTGGCCGTGCATATGAACATCACAACAGTTCACTGTCTGCATGCAACTCGACAGATTCAATGTGTGTACAATCGGCTACTATCATAAACAGCTGCAGTTGAGCTCAGTTATCACGTCTCTACACACCAACACACACACTGCCATACAAACACCGTGTGATATGCATACACACTCCGCTGCACTTGACGACCCGCCGAAAATGAACTTTCATGTATCCCGAATGTTGTGTTTTACACGAAAAGACATTTGAAGCTAATAATATCACTCACTACCGACGTACAGCACATATACTTCAACATTTGTCAAATTCACAACAATCTATCGCAAATCCGTTATTTAATTGATAATTATTACTTACCAGACTACATTCCAGACTACACAGCACAGCGTTCCCGCGATGAAAATAGCTTGAACTAGAATGCCCCGGATGTTATTTGCAATCGCATTATAGGCTTGTGTGACATCGGCATGATCTTCGCGTAATCAACGTCAAGTGCTTTGACATAATTTTAGTGTTCCATCCAAGTTTGGTTCCATTCACTTGCTGCTTGCTCCATGATCCTACAATGAGTGTCTATTTAGGAAAAGTGAACGGGCTGGGAAAATTTAACGCGGGGGGAGGGGGGTATACTCACATATTAGGGCATACGGGGGTGTGGCGCTCTAATAGGTTACTTTTTCGCAAAATATCCCACTTTTAACGAAAATACCATTAAAAATGGATCAGTTTTTTCAAAATGTCCCAAATTTGCAAAATGTTAGGATGTTTGCAGCACACGAAAACACCCGAAAATTGTGACAAATGGGAATAATGCCGAGCCTGAGCGGCACCCCCCCCCCCCCCCCCCCCCCCCCGTTGAAACCAAATATGAGTACCCCGGCCTCTCCCCCACCCAAAGTTCAAGCTAACTGAGTAAAACAAAATAATACATTTTCACAGAGAACTTATCATTGCGTTTTAAAGAACGCGAACTAGGAAATAATTTTGTTTTCCTTTTAATAAAAAACTGAATCTTTATTTTAATCTTTATCTTTCTTACAACTTAAAAGTGGAGTATGTTTTCCTTTAATTTTCAGAAAGGGTTTCGTCGAGTTTTATCACCATTTCAGGCTCAGTGATTGTCCGAAGCAATGGAAGGCGGGGGTCGTCATGTCCGCAGCGTCTACAGGGAAGAGGAAGGGTGCCGATTTTATCATCATTTATCATTACAATTATTATCATTATTATTGTCATTGTTATCTTCATTCTCATGATTTGTTGTGGTTGTTACAGTGACTCGGTAACAATGTTGAAGGTCGATGAAAAAACTGTATAAGTTTTGTATGAAATGTTACTTATTAGGCCTATATTCCTAGTGTACTTACCCTCTAACAGGCAAAATATCCTGAGAAAATTCTCAAACCTCAAAGATATTTATGGTTTTCTTTGAAGGCGTCACTGTGCAACACCCTAACAGTTATTAACAGTAAATTCTCCCAACCATTTTTGAATTTTCCCAACCGTTTTTTCATGAAAATAAGACATAAGACAGGCTTTAAAAAATAGAATAAAAATAAATGTCTGGAATGGTATAATAATAATAATAATTAACAACATTTGTATAGCGCTTATCACAAAATATGTCTCTAAGCGCTTAAGAAAAATAGAAAGAGAAGGAATTACAGCCAAATATTAAGTTATACATAATAGATAGTGGACAATCGAGGGGCTGCATATGCAAATGAAAGAGGCTATTTAACAAAAAAGTAGGTTTTTAACATGGATTTGAATTTGTCTATTGAATCTGCTTGTTTTATACATTGAGGTAAATTGTTCCAGAGTTGAGGGGATGCTGCATAAAAAGTTCGGGAACCATAAGACTGGGTATTGGTGGCAGGAACTATTAAGAGTGATTTCTTGTTTGAGCGCAGGTTGCGGGAGGGTAAGTATTCTGATATCAGCCTTTGAAGGTAGACTGGAGCTGTTTTTGTCAAACATTGGAAAGTCAGCAAGAGGATCTTAAAATCAATTCGTTCCCGGACTCTTAGCATGTGAAGCTCCCTCAACAGTGGAGTGATGGACTCACGTGAACGACGCTTTGCAATAAGTCTAGCAGCTGAATTTTGTACTCTCTGCAATTTGTTAATTTGTGCATCAGGAAGACCATACAGAAGACTGATATGAGCCAATTCATTGCTTTGTGACGATTTAAATTCACCTTAAATGTAATTAAATTGTAATAATATAGTTGGGAGAATTAAGGAATCTATCAGATCAGTTTTCCCAAATTTTTTTCATTTAAATAGTCCGTTTTCACTCAAACTTTCAGATTACCTTTAATTGTACATCTAGCATGAAAGTTAGTCACTAACTTAGCACCATTTGCTCTCATCTGAACAATGTTACTAAGTCCCTTCATTCATCACCGGCAGAGAAGTAGTATTTTGACGGTACCAGAAGCCAAAAAAAGGACCTTAAAATGACCTGATCCATGATTCTGACTCAAAATATACGCCCCCTCCCGTTTTTTTATTGAATAATAATTGCACTCTTTGACATTTAGACTCGTAATAATTTTATCATGTTTCAATTGGCTCAACGTCGACAGTAGACGTTTAACAGTAATACTCTCGTATTATGATCAGTCCATTATAGTTCATTCATTTTCCTCATTAACATATTTGGTCAGAATGGCCTGAATGCGACTCAGCGGGAGCGTCATGCGTGCGAATTGTGAATGAGGCGCCAAATCACCGTCGCACGTGACCTTACGGTTAACGCCTATAATGTTCACATTCCAATAGATCACGAAGCAGACTCCATGATTGTTGACCACACACGCCACGGTCATACATGAACATAGTCTGAACAAATCTTAAGTGCTTCCATACTCAAATGGATGTTGATTAGGGTGTGCGTGTATTGGTCATCTTTATTAAATTATCATTATCAAATCATAATAATGCTTATGCTGATATTTTAAGAATCACATGTTGTGTCGCCAGGAATGGTGCATCCCAGATAAAACGATCATTGAATGAGTATACTCATGTAAGAATCAGCCGGTTGCTGTCTGAGTGGCATGGATAAGAATGGGGGGGGGGGGGTGTACATGGGGGAATGTGCCCCCTCCCCAACGAGAGAAAATTATAAAAACAGAAACACTAAACAAATTAAAGATAGAAAGAGAAAGAAAAAGGGGAAAAGGACAAGAAAAGAAGACGTAGCTGACGTTGACTTGTACAACCTCGGTGTTGCCTCACATGTTTCCATGCATTAACAAAACTGACATCCATTTTTGATGAGTAGAGGTGTATAGGCCTATCAGCCAGTCTGACTGACCCCTGTAAGCATTATTTATGTCATTCCGGGACGGAGTGGAGTCAGATCGGCGGTTTGACTGATGTATTACATAATATACACCTCCAAACCGATATGGATATAGGCTTAATATTATTTAGTTCTTTTTTCGGTCTGCTGTCGGTCTTGTCGTTAGACTGGGGTATGAACTTTCAACCAATCACATCGGGCCTTGCGTTCCCGATTGGGAGTTGCGTCTTATCGCAGAGTCCCGTCATGGAAGAGGATAAATCAATCCGCCCATGACTCCAAATTAAAGGACGGTTTTACTTACAACCAATCATGCAGTTTCACGAGTAGCATGTTAATTTTTTAGTGCACTACATGCAATAATCATGATTAAGACTTGTCGTGTCCATTAATATGACTACCCTTCCCCCCTCAAAAATAGGTCCGCGTAACCATGCATGGATATACCGACACGGTGCTGATTGACCCCCCCCCCCCCCCCCCCCCCCCCCCCCCCCCCCCCCTCTCCACAGCCTGAAACCGAGGCATCTTACCCATCGTGGTGCTCTCAAAAAAAATATCGACCCAAAGTTTTATTTCCTGCTAGCATTATTCATGAAATAATTATGATCGCAAAGGCTTTCGACAAATCACCCTATTTCGACATCCTTGTGCGTCACCTATTGAAATTTACAAACAAGACAATGGCGTATATAATCCGAACATTGGATTTCTATGGCGATACAAAAGGGTATTGAAATTATCTCAGAACTGAAAAAAAAATACTCATTTTCAGTTCTGTGATTGCGATAAGTTCTCATCGAATATAATGAATATATTATAGCGAAGACGGCGGAATCAAACATATTGATTTATGATCAGACCCCTCACTCTCTCAGTAATATAAAGATTATCTTTTTCTTTTCCCGTCTCCTTTTTTTAATGGATGGACAGATTAAGTGAACGGAGAAACAAGCCATCGATTTGTTTTCCTTTGGAAATTTACTTACTAATTGCCAGGTGCTCAATTCAAGAGCAATCTAACATTTATAAACATTTAATTTGTATGAAAGCAGAAAGTATAAGAGAACCAAAATGGTGACAGTTTGATATAAAAGCTGACCAATAAAGTTATAGATGTTTGAAATGTGAGATCATACAAATATTATTCCGAACCTAAAAAGCGCTTAATTATACATAATTATACGATGTCTCTAAAAAAGCGCTTTGCAGAACATGATATTACCCCCAGTGGCCGATCCAGTCGGCGGGGGGGGGGGGGGGGGGGGGGGGGGGGGGGGGGGGGGGGGGGGGTAAAGAGCACTATTTTTTTTTTTAATGAAAAAATATTTTACGGCGAATCAGCCGATTAGTCGGTCGGCGAAAAAGCAGGGGGGGGGGGAAGTTGGAGGTGTAGAGAGCACTATTTTTGAAAGGTAAAATTGTGGTTACCATCTTTTCTCCCTTTTTTTGCCAGGGGTGGGGGCCGGGCCCGACTGCCCCCCCCCCCCCTGTGGATCCGCGCCTGATATCCCCGGTCATTGGATTCAATACTTGCCCGCGCCCATTGTGGCATAACTACCTAGTTTAATCATGGATAGCGTATCATCATCAAAGGTCCCCTAAAAAGACAATGCCCTCCTGAGTATATTTTGAAAAAGAAAAAGAAGATATCTAAGAAGATTAGTGATTTTTGTGTTTGATCAAATAGGACAGTTTGTCCGCTACTATGTAACAGTGATATTATCGATTCAGCCAATTTGAAATCCCCATACCTATAGTGAATACAATATTTTAAATTCACAACTTTCTTATATTACGTCCGATTCCACCTTTCACCAGTGCGCTTTTTGAATTTTCTGCTTTCTATTAGACTGAATTTCTTTATGATTTGATTTCTCTTTAAAGGCATGTGCTATTGTGATTGACTTCGAGGCCCTTCTTTCCGTCATAAATTAAATTTAAATCAAATTTGGAGAATAAAAATGCAATGTTTTCCCTCTAGAAAAAGGTAATTATACTATTTGCAATGTATAGCTTTTTGTATTGAGTAGTTTTAAAAACTCACATTTTTTCATCCATATAAGCCTTATCGAAACACTTTTCATTTGTTCCCACACAAAAAATAAGACGAGATCAAAAATTACAACGTCGAAACTCGATATGTTGATATGATTTTGAAAATTAAAAATTAAAATAAAAAAATGTATTGATTTCAATCGAAACAGAGTGTAACCCCTACGCCTTCTATCCCCTGGATTTTACTAGTACAGGATGGACCCCACCCCCCCCCCCCCCCCCGAAAGAAAAAAATAGCATACTTCAAATAGTGTGGGGGGAAATTGCACCTAGACCGATAAATGGAAAATCTTTTTAAATAAAACATATTTGGTAAAGACTGGTCTTTTTTTCTTCTTTTTTCTAGACGTATTTTGTGAAACAATGTTTAAGACATCGATTTGCAGTGCTCCTTGCGGAATAAAACGAATCATTGTGTAGCTACAGAAACTGAATCATGCCTGAGCTTTGGGCAAATTGCAATAGACGTCAGATTGAACAAAATCATAACATTCCAGATCAAGTGCAATTTTTCCTTTTTATCAGGCATTTTTAATGATTTGTTAAATACGAACAAACACCGTCACATAAAGAGAACTCTTAAATTGCGTGACAAAATTTACCCCCCCCCCCCCAAAAAAAAAAAAAAAAAATCCCTCTACCAATGTTTTTAATTTTTGTAAGAAATTCAAAGATCTGCTTCCGCTGGTACTGAATCCTAAGCCCACGTTATTGGTAGTATGCTACAGTGTTATTTTTTTAACCGGCACATAAAAATACAAACAAATATTTTGAATAATGTCGATTAAAAAAAACAAAAAACAGATAAGGCCTATAAGAACCTGTAATTTCATGACTCATTTTAAGGATAATTAAGTGTCTTTAGTCCTCACTCACGGCGTCACTCGCTCGCAATGCTTTTAGAAACAGGATGATTTCATCAAGCAGCGAAGTGCCTAATTACCTCTAATATGTGGGCAGCGAAGTGCCCGAATATCCCTTTAATTGGAAGGGGCGGGTGCCCAGGCCAAGATCGCTCTCAAAGTAGCTTCATGCACTATCTCTCACAGCATTTACACTGTCGCTCATAAAGGTGGAATATTTTAGTTTTAGCCCAATTTATGGAATTATTATAAAAATTATTTAAAAATAATAGATCTAGATAATAGTATACATTCTCAGATTGTATTGAATAATAATTTGCCAATGTGTGTTTTGCGGGACTGCTAAAGCATGTGTATGCTACTATGCTTATTAACTAGGGGACCTACGCCCTCAAGTCATAAATAACAGTAATGAGGATTAATACCCCACAAAAAGCAACTAATATAGCACATCGACACGGTTTTGATCCTGGGGCCTCACAGTTACGAGGTCATTGATTTGTCACTGAACCATGACTGTACGCAGCGGGGGCTAGGGTAGGGGGCAGTTTCCATAAATTAAAAAAAAAACAGAAAATGCAATAAATTTTCAATAATTTATTGCATTTTACCCCGGTCCCCAACATAACAAAATCCTCTGGATGGCCATGCATTATGGCTCAAGGCATGGGCACAGGGAAGATTTGTTTATGTTGGGAACCGGGGTAAAGTGCAATAAATTATTGAAAATTTATTGCATTTTCTGTTTTTTTTTTTATTTATGGAAACTGCCCCCTACCCTAGCCCCCGCTGCGTACAGTAATGGTTCAGTGACAAAGCAATGGCCTCGTAACTATGAGGCCCCAGGATCAAAACCGTGTCGATGTGCTATATTAGTGCCCTTTTGTGGGGCATTAATCCTCATTACTGTCATTCATGACTTAAGGGCATAGGTCCCCTAGTTGATAAGCATAGTAGCATACACATGCTTTAGCAGTCACGCAAAACACATATTGGCAAATTATTATTCAATAAAATCTGAGAATGTATACTATTATCTAGATCTACTATTTTTAGAGTATTTTTAAAATAATTTCATAAATTGGGATAAAAACAAATATTCCACCTTGATGAGCGACAGTGTAGAAACAGGATTATTCTGGGCAATTAGAAGCCCGAATATCCTCATATTAGTGTACGGAGGTGACTGAATATTCATTTTTGTAATCATGTATTTTCGGAGAAGTGCCTGCATCATGTTTTATATTTATATCTTATCGGCTAGTTCAATAAAAGAATAAAACCCTTCACTCGCTCCGGGCTTCACTTTCTCGCAAAATTTAGAAATGATGTGTGCGTATCACTTGACGACTGACGCAAAATTAATTTTTTTGTGATGAATTCGGGATTTGGGTGACGTGAAACTCTTTTGGGTGCCGTGACTAAAACAAGTGGTTGAAAGTTTGGAACGCTGGTTGATCTATAGACGTACAAGTCCTTTTTCTGGGCCACCCTGTACCGGTGTATAACTGTATACGTACTGTCTGCATTACAGTGAAAGACTAGCGTCGTGACTTGTCCACCCACCCATCTGTCGTTCATGATAATCTGTAATAAATTTTCAAGATGATAAAAGCAATTTTAGTCTTCAATAACCACGGAAAGCCTCGGCTTGCCAAATTCTACACTCATTACGTAAGTATTCAAAGTATATTTCTTATATCAGACGAAGTAAACGAATGTTACAATGCTCGTTGTGGCGAGAGAGACCGCTGTGTATTTTCCATAGTGAACGAATTGTACAGTCCCATCGACTGAATACTGTGTGGTTCTCTTAGTCTTACTCGATCTGTGTCCCACTTCTTTTCTTTTGATTGCAGCATGAAGACGAACAACAACAGATTGTCAGAGAAACTTTCCATTTGGTCTCAAAGCGAGATGATAATGTGTGCAATTTTCTGGAAGGAGGAATGTGAGTTTACTTAGACATTTAACCTTTAAAAAAATATTCATTGCAACAAAAAGATGACAAGACATGACAGTCACAATGTTATTTAGAAAAAAAGAATTAATAAGTAAAAGAGGCGCTAATGACAATGCACTTTTGCACAGTGTGATTCTGTTGATTTTGACAAATAGAATGCAAATGAAAGACCTATTAGTTGCGATTTTGGAGAAAATACATATCAAGGCCAGGGTAGCAGAGATGCGTCAAAATATTTTTTTCCTTTGCATTATATTTAACAGAATCGCAATTAGACGGCCAGTGTGCAAGCAACATATTCATTCATGTCTGGTGCGAAAGTACTGAAACAGGAATTGTATTATTGTGTTCTAAACTGTTCCCTGGGCCTGTGTCTGTGGGTTGGCAGCTGCCTGAACATGAATTCAAGTTAACAAAAGTTATCCTTATTAAAACTGAATATGTCATTTTGCTTAAGAATGTACATGTAGATCTAGACTCTATAGAGTCTATTTCTATTTTATTGGAAGGTGATATGATTTTTGTCTGTAAAGAATATTTTGATACATTTAGAGATAAGCGTAACAGTGCTTATCATTCATTTGTGATATTGATGTCATCTCATGATGTACAATTTAGTCCAAAGTGTAGGTGCGTGTGTGTTCATGGTTTGTTTCATTTTTGTCTGTGAATTATGACAAAGGGAAGCTTAAAATAATTTGTAGTTCTGTTGGTTAAATTTTTTTGGGTGTCCTAATGATTTTTTCAGAGTTGAATTGAACATATCATCCAAGCTTTTTATAAAAACAGCCACTCACTGCAGCACATATATGAGTTTAAAAATTCTATGGAAAAATGGAAAGAACTTTCCAGTCATCTCAACATTGCACAAAATGAAATGCTTCTCAGCATAATGAACTAATGGTGGCTTATTTCATGAGAATACAAAAACCGTACACAGTATTTCTGCACTGCCAATTGTGGATTTCCAAAATCATCAGTGATTAGTGATCTCAATTTTAAAGATTTCATCATTGTCTTATTCTGTGCCTGATTTTCTAGGAGGTTCACCAACATGTTCATTAACTTTTCTGCATGCACACAAGCCATCTTTCTCTGAAGGGTTAAGTCCATTTGATAATATGCTGAATAATCATAATCAAGTAGATCATAACAACATGAAAGAGATACAGAAAATGCATGTAAATATAATGAATGAATATTTGTCACTATAGCTATACCTTTTTGACCTAATCTTTGTGAATTTGAAAATGCAAACCATTATTATGAAATCTTCTTATTACAGAATTGTCTGTTTTATGCTTTACTGGGAGTGATGACGCGTTTTTGGTTTGGAATCTTGTGTTTATATTAGCGATTATTCATGTTGTATACTCTCTTTCATACTCCTTCCTTCCAACCCGTCCTTACTTCTGATATAGGATTGTCGGCAATGAAGATTTCAAACTAGTCTACAGACATTATGCTACGTTATACTTTGTTTTCTGTGTGGACTCATCAGAAAGTGAACTTGGTATCCTAGATTTAATACAAGTAAGTGTGCTAACACATTTCTAGAAATGTTTATTAGATTACGAAAATATTAAGAGGAGGACTAGAATTGAAATTGTCAATCACTGGTAGGCTTCATCAATTTTTAAAACTTCATCTTCATTTAAGATTTATTAACATAAATATTAGCAAAGCTTATACATGTTTCTGTATCATATTTTGTACAGTTTTACTTGGAAAGTGTTATGTTTGACTGATGAAAAAAGTATGATTTAAGGTTGTGTAACTTGTGATAGTGATACTGATATTGCTAGTAAATTACCTTCATTTTGTTGTAATATCGGTAATCTTATTGTAACCATTCAACAGCTTTTAGACAGCAATAGTGAAGTACCATTGACAATCAAATGTTCTTCTTTTTGTGGGACACATTATGATTTTCTGAAATATGATAATGTTCATTTAAATTGGACAATTATACACTGTATACTATCAATAATCTTATATGGTAATTATACAATTCTATTGAACATTGAGAATGCAATTTTTTAATTTCTCTCTCTTATGTTTTGAATAATTTCCTTTTATTTCTTTGTGCAGGTATTTGTAGAGACATTAGACAAGTGCTTTGAAAATGTTTGTGAGCTGGATTTAATATTCCATGTTGACAAGGTATGTCTTCGTTATTTGATTTTCAAATTAAGGCATACATGAGTAGGAAAAAACAGATGATAGATTAAAAGGTGTGTTTTCCCAAAATACTTCTTGAAATATGAGAATTACCCAACCTTTATGATAAGACAAATTGTGTGGAAGCATACCGGTAATAATCAGGAAAAAAATTACAAGTACAAGAAAGGCATGTGTGAAAGAAATTGGTAATTCCAGGCTTGCAATCAGGGATTTGCAGGCCCTTAAAAAAATTATCTCAAAATGTATCCCCAGCAGCAAGATGAGTTATGAAAGTATGTGTAGTTTTCACTCTACAAATGCAAATTGAAGCCCTCATTTTGTACATAACAAATGGGGTGAACAAGACACCGCCAGTTGCAAAATTCAAATCTGAAATGTAAAAAAATGACTGTAATTTTGCTAATAAAAAATATTTTTATCATATATTTAGTAAAGTTTTAAACTAAGATGTAAACAACATTTTGACCCTTTTTAAAGTTTTGGGATACTCACCATGCAAATCCTTGCTACGCCCTTTGAATCTGATTTTGTTTCTTGTACAAATAAAATGTTATGCAGAGTTGTAAAAGTAGAAAAGGCAGTAAAATGGACCTGTGTAAATTTAAAAGATAGGCATGATTAAAGAAAAAAGGATGTGCTTTCAGTAAATGAACAAGGCACTTTATTTAGCAAAATACAGGTACATAGTTTTTAATGTATCTTGATCACAAAATTTATATCATTATTCTCTGTTTAAGATACCTGTGTTTGTGTATCACTACCACTCAAATCAATGTATTACAATATTTGGAGCTAGATATTAATACTCTGATTTTTACATGAACAGGTGCATCATATTTTAGGAGAGCTGGTCATGGGAGGTATGGTTCTAGAAACAAATATGACAGAAATACTGACAAGGATAGAGGAACAAAATAAGCTTGAAAAACAAGAGGTATGTATTCAAGTTCAGTACTATCATATTGTAGCTGTGTATGATGAATGTATTGACGAATAAATAAAGGAGGAACAAAAACCCCAAACATGCTGGATATATTATGGATAGTGCAAAATTATACTCACATATAAATGTACCTACTTTAATACTGGTTTATCGTATCATTTATCTGATCATATATTATCTGTGCATATATTATTCATCCATGATGAGTATATCAAATGATATTAAATATGATATTCATGGCAGAGTGTTAAAACAAAATAGTAATTCCATCATTTCATACATGTCACAGCAAATTAATAATAATAATAATAATAATATTGGATATTTATATAGCGCACATAACCACCCACCCTGCAAGGTGCTCAAAGCACTGCAATATTACCCCGACTCTGCACATGTATCCCTGTTTAGACATGATTCTCTATACAATCAGTCCAAATCACCACTGCAAAAATTTGGGTGTATAAGTGTGGTAAAGGGGATATTTTATTGATGGAGGGGGGGGGGGGGGGTAAAAAGTAAGGTGTAGATGTGTTCAATAAATTCATTAATGCCCCCTATTTATGTTCTCTGATCTGTATTTTGGGAAAGTCCTTGGTATTTGGCAATGCAGTATCCCTTACAGTAGCAAATATCATTTACATGTAGTTATGACCATAGGTTGACATCAAGAGTATAATTGTACTTTATTGTGTCTGGTCCAAGTAACTTAGGACAATCAGATATACTGAAATCTCAGCTTAGTTTGGTAACATTTGGAAATATGAAGTGCATCACGCTTTTGTCAATGCAGTATTTTAACTGTTTACCACCTCATGTCTGAATGGACCTTACTCTTGTTACCAAGAACATTGACATCAATGACATCATTTTTCTTCTCTCTTTCTCTCTCCATTCCTCATTCAGGCTGGTCTATCAGCAGCACCAGCTAGAGCAGCAGCAGCTGTCAAAAACATGAACCTGCCAAACATTCCAACGCCAAACATCAGCTTGCCCAATCTTCCTTCATTCAAGTGATGTCCACTCCCGCCCTCATCCAAAACAAGATAATACTATTTATAAAGTGATCGTGATCCAGGTCTGTAATATATCATATGTTTGGAGCCAGAATGCTGTTATTAAACTCAAATACATGTGATTTAATACAGAGTTAGTGCCCTTTTTGCTCCAGACAATGTGCAGTTGGTAAGCTTGAATTCAAGCATAGGATTGGTTTACAATCCACAGAGAATTACATTCCATATACCTAATTGACAAGATGGCATATTTATGCATTTCCTCTGCAATCATACTGCCCAAAATGTTATGATATTCTAAATTTATATATAATGCTTCGGCATTTTGTTTTGCTAAGGCATGATTCAATGGGAGACTTTTATTTTATTTTTTGTTTGGATGGTTGACAGTCAATTAAAATCAATTAAAAAAAAAAATAACCCTTGTTGTGATGGAGTACTTCGAAAATGTTGCAGCCTATAATGCACAGACCTTAGCTGAATTTCATCTACCTACTGTTTCTATACTGCAATATATTGCTCATCTGCTTGGACCTAAAAAAATGTTTATAATTTCAGAATGAGCTATTTATTTGGCAAAAATACATCACCTATCTTCATGTAACCTACCTGTATGTATTTTAAAAACTGTATGTCAAGAAATTCCATTGCAACACATTATATTTATTTCAGGCAGCATAAAACCTCCCCAGGGAGTAGAGAATATGCACACATTGTGTGCAGGCAATTTTTAATCCAATGAACGGGATGATAATATCTACTAAAGGTGCAAAGGGCTTTCCAAAATAAAAAGTCAATTAGGTATTTCTTCCTTAGAATTTGCTGCCCTCTATAGCTTGTGAAGATGGCTATTTGAGCAAAAATGAAATATTATGAAAACTAGCATAAAAAAAGAAGAAAATGTAGCTAGTTTGATCTTGAGAAAACAAGGTGAAAACATGTGATTAATTTAATGTTTTTAAAGACTTTAATATGACCTTTAAGGTTATACCTACCTCACAATGTTTGAGTAAATAGCTAGAAATTATAATTTGGTAGGTTATAACGATCTGTATGCTATTCACTTTATCATTTTCTCTAATGGTAGTACCAACTGACCTTTGTCTTTAAAAAATAGCTTTTTTTAAATGACAAACTGTCTCACCAAATTGTTGTGGTAAAATGTTACATGCAAATATATGGCAATAAGCAATGTAGAGGAACACATAAAAGACATAGCTTCCAATGGCTGCTTCATGTACCCACTTATTTGTTGGATTCAGAAATATGAAGCACACTTTACTTATATCATCTTATTGTGCAAGGGTGTTTTCTTCTTTTGAACAGGGCCATAGAATAGAGAGACCTGGACCATGATCACATATTTTCAACTCCCTCTATTTACAGTGTAATTATATATATTTTAAGTTGTATTTTACAAAGAAAGCCACTATTGAATTTGATTGTAGCTCATAATATTATATCAATTATTTCCCCAGAAGTATATCCTAGGTATGAGCAATTAAAATTTGTGTACAAAGTGAAGAGTGTATTTACCTTCTCTTCACTTACAGTGTCTTGAACATGTATCGAAGGATCAGACATTCGATTGTGCTCTAAGTGATGTCATTTGTCATATACTCAATCTCATTATGATTTCATGAATTTCAACCATTTTTTATCGCCAATTTATTATGTTGAATTTTCTTTTGGAATGCCTAGTCTCATCAGATTCGAGCAGAGCGACTGCAGCTCAAATAGGAACGACAGGTGGGAATCTAGATGAAATTCTATAAGTATATGTACATTATGACTAACATCGGATGTATATACAGTATCAATGTGATACAATTAATTATGATAATGTATATTGATGTTCCTCTTCCATTTAGTATTTACAAGAAAATACGATTTGTTAAATGTTACAATCAATTTGCACAAATATGAGTTTGCTGGAAGAGAGTTGAGGACACTGATTTTACAATAAAGTGCTTTCACTTCTCGCATCTAATATCCTCTACGAAGTGTTTCTCGAGCATAAAAACAGGAACGTAACCCTTTCCTCTGGGTGTGTGATGGCAAATTGGCTACTCAAAGAGAAAGTGACAAGAAATGATTATAATTGGAATTTTTAAACCGCAGACTTATCAAATTACTATTCATGATAGTAGTTCTAACTTACCTTAAAAATTCTACATAGGCGTATAGTGGTAGACCTACCATCATTTCGCTACCACACTGTTGTCCATTTTTTTGTTTTCATGATGACACTAATGGACCAAATATCACTCTGTACATTGTTTTTGAAGACAAGCTTTCAAACGAGCCCATGCATGTGCATATATGCTTCAAAACGAAGTCATGTTTGTTGTGACAAATTGAAAGGACCCTTTTTTCAGTGTAGTTGCCATCCTAAAGTCATAACTTACATGCAAAGTGAATGAATGGCATGTAACATCTACTGTTCAATGGAATGAATAATAAAGCATTCTTTTTAAAAGTAAGAATATATCACTGCATAGATATGACATGTTCCTTTTATAATCCAAATGTCATAACCATAACTTTAACCAACCTGTAATCTAAAATTAATCTAAATTTGTGATGTAATGTTGAGTGACAATTTTGTATGATAAAAATGTCCTTACATATTGTCATCAAGGACAAAAAAGTGCAATTTGGTTGTGTGGAAAAGTCACTGTTTTCATAAAAGGTAGAAAAAAAAGAAAAAAACCATGATAGATTGCTAGAGTTGTTTTGTAGAAGTTTGTACATGTAAATCTATATTCTAGATAAATACCCCATAGTAATGTATCAATACTATTTTGTTTATATTAGACATTTAAATATGATGTACATGTATATATGTAGAAAAAAAGAGGGAAACACTTATTTAGTAAAAGTTATGTATTTGAATTGATACAAAATACCCATAATTTAGCAAATAATGGAGGTTTTGGTCACAGCCATGTAGATGTATAGTATTTGATGCCACTTTAATTGTCTAAAATGTGTTTTGTTTTATTGCACTCCATCAAAAAATCTGAAAAGAGAAGAGGGTAAATTATTTGTTGGGAACATGCCATAACCATAGTAACCATTGTTAATTATCGATATGACTACGGTATACTTACTATAAATTTTCACAGAGCAGTAATACTGTACCTTTATATGTAATTTTCTTAATTTTAGGTAGTTAACTAAATTGAATAAGATGTTGAAAAGTCCAAACATTATTTACATAGGGGGTTATATAGAGTGTTTGTAATAAAATCTTTGAATTGTGGGTAATATTATCATAAAGGTATTAGATATATTAGTGTATTATTGATTGGTTTTAGAAATTCTCATCCAAATCATTCCTTGTGTAATTGTATGCTGAGAATAAAAAGATGCAAGAACCAGTGTTTTTTAAAGTTTTTTTTTACAGATTTGGTACCTTTTATTGATCTCAGCCAATGCAGTATTCTACACCAAATTGCGCCAATGTAAATGATGGCAAATTTGTTATTACCGGTAGTACTGTTACATGTGCTTATAATAGTTACAATAGTTTATTTATGAAATTAAGCTTGTTTTAAACATGATGCAGAAGACTGATAGTTTATCATTGTATTTCTAAAAACTTGGAATCGAATGGCAAATGGAGATAGAAAGAAAGTAGCTTTAATAGTGTGCGCAACAAGTTTCTACTGCCTACTCACTATTTGTTTGTTAAAAGATTAACAAATGAGAAGTACCGTTATATCACATTTGGGTCATTAAAAAACAAAAGAATGGTTGCAGTTACTGCATCATATGTGACTGATCTCTTTAAGGTGATTTCGGGAATCATGTAGGGGTCAAGGGTCATGTGCATATCAAATATGACAGAGAGTACCGTGAGATAAGATACATGTACTTGGATAAGAATTTTGGGGAATTCAAAGTTCATGTTTGCCCTGCAAGCAAGATAACAACCAATATTCTGTTACTTCAATATTTTGTCTTTAGAAATTTTGCAAGAAATATCATAAAACAATATTCTTTATGATAGAAAGAAAATCTACAGTTTGTTTTCTTCTTTTTAAATCAAACTTGTAATAATACAGTACATGAAGCCACAATGATTCTGTTAACCTTGCAACCATCTGTGATAAAGCTACACTGCATTGTAAATCGTCCACTCTGCAACTATTACTATATGCTGTATACCTATACTGATATCTTGTTTAGTAGGTCTAATTGTTAAAACTTTTGATAGCCAATTAATCAGAAAGGCAAATGTATCCCATGTTGAGATGATTTATGGTATATCAAATTATATCAATAAAACATTACTAGTCCGATGCACATGTTATTTGACAACGAATGTGAGTGATATATATGTTGCTTCCAAATATGTAAGTTTGTGTCCCCATTTGTGTTTACATAGCACAAGTTATAGATTACAATGATGTGTAGGAAGATTTTTTTCATTGTATCCACTTGTCATGACAAATGTAGTACTGCATATTCATTTACATTTATTTCAGTGTACATTATGTGTAGCAGCGCAGAGATGAATGATATCCCTACCTGTCAATAAATTTGCAGTATGTATTGTACCTTGGTCACACTGGAGCTACTTGTCTCCACTCTTTATTAATATCTTTTAGATTTAACAGTTTATAATCATAATACAACTATTGTCCTTTAATCCTGTAATACCAAATCAGAAGAATCTATAGCTTTAAGTGTTTATTTAAGTTAGAAGCCAATAGTACGAAATGCTGCAAATATTCTAAATAATTTCTGTTCACATCACTTTATCTAAGATATTTTTAAAACTTTGTGTTTTCTTGGGCTAGACAATTTCCGTTTAGCCTGAACTAGGAGCTAGGAAACAAGAATTTACAAACATGTTTGGATCATCAAGGACATATCTTTTTAACTGTTTGATTCACATGTGCATATTACTGTTCTTTGTTAAAAAATATTCATGTGTTAAGGATTACCCTAGAGGTCATTTTGTGAGCTTGTCGTCATGGTGACCAATAATAACATAGCTTTGAAAGCCATGCCTGCTTAGTCCATTAACTTGGGCAAGCCAAAGTGTGAGAAATTTCATTGATCAGCACTTTTTGTAGTTTAAAAACATCCAGTTACGAAATATAAACTACTGTTTACATTGCTTGAATAAGGAGTGCTGAACTTTTTTCAGTTAAAGATCAATACTTGTTAATGCTTGTCTGAAATAGCAGCATATCAGCAACTATCATGTAAAATATGTTACACATTATTAGCAATAAAATAGACATGTAACCCATCTCTTTAGTTTTTAGTGGCATTAAGAAAATAGAACCTCTTGTGTATTGCTATAATTTGGAGAAAAAAACAATAGAGTACCGTACTGTTCACATGAGATAAAAGTTTTATAAGAATATAAAGACAGGGGTAAAAATAAAGATTACCCCATGAACTATGGGTTTTAGAGCTTTAGTTAAGACCCATGCAATGATTTAGAAATTGCACTTGAATGTTAATATCTATAAATCCATTTGTTACATTCCTATATATTTTGCATGATATTTCAGCATTTATTGCTAATTTGGTAGAAGTGTTTACATGGGTGTAAATCATATGTGATGTAGGTACTAATAAGGATTATGTTGCAACCAGTACTTAATTGACACACGAAGCATTTAGTTCTATTGTCTTTTCCCTGTCTGTCTGTGAGTCCAACCATTATTTTGACAAGGAGATGTTGAATTAGAAAAGGCGGCATACTGGGGTGCAAGTGGTTTTGTAAGTTCAACAGTATTTACGTATATTTTATGTGTACATAATATGTGCTATTTCATTTTTCCTGGTAAATGATCAAATTATTACATCATTTCATTAACGATAAACAGAATTGTCAAAGTTTAGGTGAGTAGGGCACTTAACACATTCAGAATATAGAAACAGAATATCATTATCGCTATTTACTGTGTAATTGTGCAGTAAAGATGTTCTGTTTGTTGGCACCAGAATGTATGCCCTGCTTGCCTTCAGTTGAGTTTTGTGAAACTTTGTTTCATCTACCATTTCACTTAGCAGTGAGTATATCTTGATTTTGTGATTACAATTTAGAAAATATATTAAATATTTGTTGAAACCTCAATTAAAAAAAAAAAACTTTTATTTTGTATGTTGTGTAGATCTTGATTGGGAATGAAAGTGGACCTTTTCTATCTCGCTCGGAGTAAACAAGAATAGGAGAGAAATTGGGAGGGAGGGAGAGAGAGAGAGAGAGAGAGAGAGAGAGATGAGAGAAGAAAGTGGAGGAAGAGAATTTTGAATAGAGAGAAAGTATATAAGAGTGAGAAAAGAGAGGGGATGAAAATCGCTTTGCATGATAAATAATCATTCCAGTTCTATTTCTAACTGCATATCATAAAGGAGAGAGAGAGAGCGAGAGATGCATATGGAAATCCAAAGGGGAGTTCATATTCTGTTGCAAGTTCTTCAAAAGTCAAAGTTAAGCCAATGCAGACAGTTCATGGACAGACCATTTCCTGGTTTAGGTCTTGGCATGGATTTGAACTTTATCTCTTTAAAGAGTAAAATTCCCATGGGATGATCGAGTGCCATAGATGCTTGAGATAAAATACTTGGGGTCATCGCTTGCATGGGGTGTGAGACCATAGGATCATAGCCATAGGAAACATATCATTTCTGCCCACTCGAGTCACAGTACTTTTTCAATGTACATGCAAGTGACACTTTCTTCTCAGCAACGAAGTAATTCCACCATACAACAGGCCGTGCCTTTACCTTAATTATTAATAATGAACAATAGGCCATGAGGCTTGACTTTGATACTTCCCGGGCTGCCCCTCTCCTTGTTATTTAGGGTACGCATATGGCATGTTCCCTCCCTTTGAAAGCACCCCTTATCTCTGGTGTGTAAAGTCAATAGGGGCCGGATTTTTTAATATTTTGGGCTGGACTTTGTTGCATGAAAAGTAGCCCTTTTTTTAGGAACACAAATTCGCAGTCCCTCCGACCCAGGGGGGGGGGGGGGTAGGCCTACTCACATATTAGGACATACAGGGTATGCCGCTTTAATAAATGGTTACTTTCTCACAAAAATATCCCTAAACATGGGTCTGTTGTTTCAAATTTTTAAAAAATGGGCCTTTATTTCAAGAAAAATCCCCACAATTAAGTGCCCCTTAAGAATGGGTAGGGGTTTTGAGGCTTGAGCGGCACACCCCCGTCTAAACCAAATCTGACAACCCCCCCCCCCCCCCCCCCCCCGGATAGTTCTAGTGGACTTTCATAACAAAAAAAAATGAAAGAACTCCAGCCCCACCATCCCTATATACTCGACTCCTAGCTCTACATCGCGTCGGTGACGTGTTCGTTCTGATCTGCTGCGCTGTGCTAGCGAGCTAGCTACCTGCCCTACATATATCATGCGCATGATCGGCCGCGTATATCGCGTGTATATGTGAAAAAGCCAAATTGAGTGAGCGACAATGGGAATCTCGCTGTCAAAGGATGGGCCGGTAGACTGACACTTGCTACCCAATATGCTCCACTGAAAAAAGCTATTAAAAAAAAATCACTGACATCAACTTTAAGAGGTTCCACCAGCTCGACAGATATCAGATTTAAAGCATATGATACCGAAAAAGGTGAGTTTTGTGTAGTACAAATCAGATACCGTTTATTGCCACAGTCCCACTTACTGCAGTACGTGTAAGTTGTTAGAGTGCCGATAATGAGTGCAGTGGTTGCATTGCACACACAGGGTGCACACATCATGACATTAGCTGCATTACTATCCTGGCTGTGTATTAAAAGCTGTGCTATCGATTCTCAACATTTCAAACACCACTGTACAAAACTCAACTGATTTCACCAAAAATTGGGACTTTAGTGAGAATTGCTGACACCTAAATAGCAGTAAAATACAATTTTTTTTACTGACTGTGAGTGTGATCACAGACACAGTGATGTTAAACTTAAAAAGAATAATTAAAAAATTCAAATTGTATTATTTGTAAGTCGATCTAGAATCTAGTCTAGATCTATCATCTAGTGTCATATTTGCCGATCAGCAACATCGGTCAGTTCTATTGTGTGCAGTCTATGCAATAGTGGTGTGTGTGTGTGTGTGTAATTGGGTTTTTACAGACGTGTATCAATCAGATATGATTATTTACGTCTGGGACCGACCTTTAACGTCACCATCTGAAAGACGTGACTCAGTTTCGAACCTGCGTCCTCGGCTGAATCAATTTGTAACTTCCACTGTTAGCTGGATTACAGGCGCACGCCACAACGCCTAGTTTAGTGGTGTTTGTAATTGTGTATTTAACCTGCCTCTCAGCAAGTATGCAGTGCTAGAGGTCAATACGCATTAGCATTTACTCTATGCTTTGCTGGAGTGCCGTAACTCAGCTCTGGCATGGAGATACCCTACCAGAACATACCAAATATCAACTTAATCTTTCTTTACCTGTTTCGTGTAAATTTTGAAATCTTTTTTTGAGTATTTTCCTAAAAACAAAGACTTATAATATACACTTTCTCATTCGATTCACAGCAAACTGCTGCACATAAAAATTGCATACCGTACTAATTGTGGGGTGCGGGCACGCGCGTGTGTTAAGTTAGCGACTTTAATCTAGGGTGTGACTTGTTGGTGTTGGTTCTACTGTGAACGCGAATACATATAGACTAGTGTGAGCAAAAGTGCCTGTTTTCATGTTGCTAACTGGACACGTAGAAAAGTAGCCTTATTTTCAAACACTGGCGCTTTTTGGCCCTACAAGGGTCCTTCTAATTGGCTATCGCTGGCTGCCATTTGCTCAACGTTATAAGATATTAGTGCGAGGAGAAATCTTGCTATTTTCCGTTTGATCTAATACCAAAATCATGATTTTTCCATTTGAACCTTCTATTTTGTACGATTTTTTTCAGCATCCTTAAAAATTTAAGTATTACTTAAGTTTAAGCCTTACTTAAGTTACAAAAAAAAAGAAAAAAAGATTCAGTGTGCTCGCGCATGTGCACGGCGACAAAAAAATACGATGGGGCTGATCTGATTTGAATTTTCAAAGAATTTTTTCCAACATCTGCAAATTGAAACGATTGTATTTTACTGCTATTTAGGTGTCATATATTGTCACTAAAGTACTGACTTTGATTGAACATTGATGAGTTTTGTACAGTGGTGTTTGAAACATTGAGAATCAATAGAGGTCGTCTGAACAATTTTTGATACACAAAAAGTATACTAATGCTGCTTTGTGTGCATGTAAATGGGAGGCTCAAAAGAAAGTACATACGGTATGCATAATTGTAATGACTTTTCTTAATTCATTGTCAAGACGTCCTCAGATAATTATTTCATTTCTGAACAAAAATAATAAACAAAATTACACCAAAAAAAGATAGGGGTAAAAAATTAGAAATCAATTTCATGTGGCCTTAACAATATTAACAATAGCAATTCATAGCAACTAGAAGACTAACTTCTTTTGATGCCATTGTCATGATCCATGTTTATGATTCACATTTACATTTTTGATTTATTTTTCAATGTTTTTTCAAAGTCAGGTAGAAACTCGCAAGTTAAAATTTGCTTGTTCTGATTTTTTTTCCTTCAGACTGAAGTAGTCCAATTTCAACATGAAGCGGCAAATCACATGGTTCATTGGGATTTTCATCGTTTGGAACCTAGCAACTTATTTTCTCTTCACCAGACCAGATAATGCTAAAAATCAGATGGTAAGTTCCTTAAATGCTGTATTAAAAAGCCAAAAAAAGATGTTAAATTTGTGATCAGTGAGTGATTTGTGAAATTTTACAAAAATCATACCGTTACAAAAATAACAGCTACTGTACATGTACAGTACTTTAATCATTTAACCCTTTTTGTTGTCACACATACGCGTGTACCAAAATATTCTTAACAATGTGGCAGTCTCGGGTCTCAATCTATAGCAAATAAAGAGTAAATTAAGCATGCCTGTTTCATACTATTCAGCTTTGTGTCTCTATAAAATGCTCCTGGCTTTCCTTAAGTGTACACAATGCCACAGCCTAGGTATTCCTTTCTACCAACGAAAAAAATACACGGTGGCGACGGGCGATTCGCCCCCTAAACCTCTGAAATCGCCACGGTAAAAATCAAGACGAGGGCGAAAAAAAAATCAATATATCTTGAAAAATCGCCCCCGCCATAAATTGATATTCCCTATGAATTAATAAACCAATTTATTGATGTGTCTGAGTGAAATCTCCGTTCCAACTACCAACTCCAAAACTAGAACTTCCATCAACATTTTAAAAGTTTTAGGAGTTGCAGCGGATCGGCGGTCGTACCTACTGTAGCTAGATCTACAGCGGTATCCGCCTGCCTGCGCCTAAGCTCCCGGCGGCCGGACAGGCCACCGGCCCCGATGTAGTTTCGTGCACAGCATGAATGCATATGCAGTTCGCACACGTTCACAATACACAGAAACGTACTAGCTCAGCTCCAGCGCGCGCCCGCACGCTCCTAGCATGAAGCAAATAAGTATTTGCGAGTGACGAGAGCTCAACTGCTAGCGACCAAATTGGTACGTAATATGTTTATTTAGTCTTTTTTCTGGCCCTAATTTTTATCATGGACAATGCAATCCCATTAAAAAAAATGTTATTCCGTCTAAAATTGTGTTATTTATAAGTTAAAACCATTAAATGCGAGTATATTTTTACTGTTGTCCCACATACTGATATATTTGTAATAACGAAACGTGCAAAATCAATGCCGGATTTTTTCCTGTAAAATCGGTATAAAGCAAGTTTCGTACACAGAAATTGAATTTTGTTATAAAAAACCGTAAATAAATATATAAAGGATGTTCCTACTCCTCAGAATCTTTCTTACAACTGTTTAATTGAATTAAATTATTTATTATATACGATCGATGCCAGGCCAATTGTCATGAGTGATGATGACATCAATTTCTGTCTACGAAATGAAACTAGCTTTGGCTTGGCCTTTAGAATTAGAGTCTATAAAAAAAAAATAAGGCCATGATTTTGCATGTTTCGGCATAACAAATAGACCCTACATCGGTATGTGGGACAACAGTAAAAATATTTACTCACATTTAATGGTTATTATCATAAATGGTCTAGATCTAAATAACACAATTTTAAAGGGAGTTGGTCTACATTTTTTTTTAATGGGATTGCATTGTCCATGATAACAATTAAATTTGGGACAGAAAAAAAGACCAAATAACACATTACCTACCAATTTGGTTGCTAGTAGTATGATGGCTAAGGAAAAACACAACTTATTGTTACAGCTTACAATATGGCTTTAAGGAAGTAGCCCCTTGGTTTTTTTTAGGCAATGGGGAAAAGTAGCCCCCATAAAAAAATTAATTCCTAGCCCGCGTTTCAGTGATAATATTTTCTTAGGATATGAAAAATGAACAGTTAAACAAAACACTCCTTTTGACAAGTTTTGGTTAAATCATAAAGCCACACGTTTAACACAAAGTGAATAAATCATGGGTATCTGAATGTCTGCAATACTCTACATGACATATGTACGCTACAATTGTATCTATATTTGCCTTTGCTTGGAATTTAATTAGGTAAAACCGCGTTTAAAAAAAAGACAACCTTTAAAAAAAAAAGCCCCCCTGAGCTCCAAAATAGCCACCGCAAAATAATTAAGGGGGGCTATTTTTTTAAGGGAAAATCTGAAAAGAGCCCTCGTAAAAAAAAAAGTAATTTTTTGGTTGCTTTCTACTACATATACTGCCATGTAGTTTCATTAATTCATTGTTGAGTAATTTGAACATTCTACTGGAGTTTACATATAGTCCTGGCACAGCAGTTATATCTGTGTCCCAGGGCAAGGTATTTAATCTACTGTGCTTCTCTATACCCAGGTGTATTAAACAAGTTGAAGGGTGCTATCATCATTGTAAATCTATTTGGCTAGTGTGCCTGTAAAATAGTGAATGCCTTGATTGCTCTCGCAGAATGGAGAAAATCCTTCTTTTTTTTGTGTGGAGTTCTGTTCGAAAAAGTGTAGTGCAAAAATAAATATACCGTGTTGAAAGAAGGAGACAGAGAAGGAGGAGAAGAAGATGAGAAGAAGAAAAGAAGAAGGGGAGGAGGAGGAGGAGGAGGAGGAGGAGGACAAAAGAAGAGAAGGAAGAGGAGAACAAAAAAAAAAATGGCATATCAGATCTTAGCTCCTTGGAGAGGTAAAATAAATTATTACTGTCTTTTTTTTTTTTTCCTTCAAAATATTCCTCAATTGTAACTGTTCTGAACAATACGTTGATGTCAGTTGATATATGATTATTGGTCCATATATTTATGTTTAAATCTTATTTTACATATCTGTTATTATTATACGACACCGGTTTATTAGTATCAAACTTGGGGGTACTTGTATTCAAGCTTTGTACATGGTATTACATTTAATTAATAATCATTATTGCCAATTTTATATTGCATTGAGGTGCCGTGTAGATGTTTTACTTAAAATTGCACGCTTGTTTATTATATGTATTTTATAATAATTTATAATGTAACAAATTTAATACCAATTGAATTTGACTGGATATATATATTTTTTTTTTAATACGGATAATGCATTATACCACCACTCAATTTGGGTTTACTGTCTCTCTCTTTCTTTCAAAATCTTTCTCAATTTTAATTGTTGGACAATACGTTGATGTCAGTTGATATATGATTATTGGTCCTGTGAAGTCCTATGTACCTTTTAATTATGTTTAAATGCGATTGCTCTTGAGTGTTTTTTTTTTCTTCTTTTCATATCTATGTATTTAAAGTGTCAATTTATACAGTTTTATTGTACAAAGTATATATACATACATGTATAACTATATTGTGAACCATTTATATGCCTGCCTTTTTTACTGTATGAAATCCAACTTATGGTTGCAATAAATGAATGATTTAATAATAAAACATCTCAGCTCGTATACAATATATACTTTTAGTAAGGAAACCACTTTTTGTGGGCCCTTGATTGGGTTATAAACTGGGGTTATAAACTGGGGTTATAAACTGGGGTTATAAACTGGGGTTATAAACTGGGGGTATAGCACAAGGCTAAAATGACTTGGGGAAGAAAAATAGGACTTTTAGGATATTTTTATATTTCATTTGTACCCTAAATATATTAAAAGTGGCTGCATATTAATGTCAGCAGGGGATCATTGGCTGTAATGCCCCTTCTCCCCTCCTTCAAATATGCTTGTGCTTTATAAGAACAAAAAGGGGGAAAAACATGGCCTTTGTTGCAACCAAAATGCTCACCTCCATGATTACAACGTTCAACCTTTTATGTGACATAGTGTATCATGATCCTGAACTCAAAAGGAAGTTGATGCCATGATAATAGTAATTAATTACCACAATACCACAAAACGCTTTCCTGTTTTTAGCTGTTATCATCAGTCTAATACATGTAAGAAAGTAATATAGTAGTAGGTAATCAAGGTTATTTGCTATCAATCACGGTACTGTAGTACCGGTATGTGTTTTGCCATGTTTGTGTCAAAGTTGCTTGAAAACACTCGAGTTAGCTGAAGATATTTTGATAGTTGAATTGTGGATGAAGGAACAGTTCTAACAGACTGCAATTAAAGCTAGAATCTCACTGGGCTGCGACAGCTTGTGACTACGGTATTTAAAGACACAAAATTGCAAGGAAATATGTGAATTAGTGACAATTTTCACTTTGAATTACACTGAATTGGTGCTTACGACACATTTGCGTACATGTATGTCGACACATGCATGTGTATGCCACATGAATTTGGGCAAAAATTTGCCCAGAGCTCATATTGTGCGACTTGCAAGACATTTGTGCGAATGCCATGCAAAAAAAATTCAGTCGTGATTTAGTCTCAAACTCACAAAGTGCCTTAGTTATGTCGCAGTTGTTCACAATTATTTCTCAATTGATTCACAATTTTGTCCCACCACTCCCAGGGGTCTTAGGGCAGTTTGCACCTGCCTTGCTCCCAGAATATGAGATTCTCATTTTTAAATATTTCTTTTGTTAGTGTACTTGGAATTTAAAAACAGATATTAAACATTTAAAGATGTAAGTGTAAGATGTAAGTGTAAGATGTAAGATGTAAGTAATGACATTTAATGATATAGTCTACACAAATTTTCCCTTGTTGTAAAGCTATCAACGGAAATTTGATAGATATCATATAATCTTTGTTGAATTGAAATGTTGAATAAAATCAATTCCTATACTACTTTCACTAATCCAAATACATGCATACATACATACATACATACAGACCTGAAATTGAAAGTATCATTTTACTTTTTTGTAAATAAGTACGCTTAGTTCTCATGGAGCCATAACTTAATGCAATTCTTTGTAAACTACAAACTTGTTTAATTTGCAATGTAGAGGGAGAGTCCACCCCGAGGATGGGTTTACTCCGCCTTTACTTGGCCACACACATTCTCAGGGTGGACTTCCCCTTCATTGCTACCGGGGCTAGACTCCATAAGCTTTGCTTTTTCTAGCCCCATCTACATTACTCACCTTTTTATGTTTTAATGTTGATGTTTGTTAACTGATGTAGATTTTCATTGTTCTTTTATGCTTATGTATCTGTTTTTCATTTGCTCTGTGTCAAATGTATAAAATGTATTTTCTTACCTTGTATATTCTTCTGGTTTTTAATGTGGAAAATAAATGAAATGAAAAAAAAAAAAAAATATTACATTACTGTACACAGGTTATGACCCTATGTCCTATGACGCGTTGAACGTATGAACCAGCTTGTCTTTAAGAAGATCTAAGATGCTCTACATATACATAGCATTGACATGTGAGTTACTTATATTTCATATTCATTACCTGTTTTTTTTTTATAGCTTAAGTCTTCCAAGGAGTTATCAGAGAGGTTGAACAGACTTCAGGAAAGACTCAAGGATCAGATGGTCATCAATGAAGAACTTCTTCATGAGATCGAGCAGGAAAAAGATAAAATCATCCAAAAGAGTAAGTAATTGTTATGATGTCGTTGGCACTTCCAGATAGGGAAAAATTACCCCTCCCCCAATCATACAGTTTTGAGTTATGTTAGTAGTATAATTGTATCTTTGTTCCCTTGGGATCATGGAGCTAATGAGATGATACGAAAAAGAACCAGGGGGGGGGGGAAGAAATTGCTTTGAAATTATTTCTGTATCAATGATTTTGTGTGATTAGGAAAAATTGATGTCAGAAAGTGAAAATCTACAAGAGTTGGAGAATAGGCTCCTATGTGCTGTTGGCTAGAACTGTTTGATTTAATACACCACAAAGCATCAGAGACCTGTGTCATTTCAATCAATAGTAGTTGTAGCTTGTATTCATTGTTTGCAGCTTGTATTCATTGTTTGCAGCAGCTGTGAAATGTGTACTGAAGTTGTCAGCTTTGCTGATTTATTCAAGTTCCCTTTTCAAAATGAATGCTTGAAGCTTAAATATCACTGTAGCTGATAATTACTTTGCTTCCCATGAAGTACATAGCTATTTTTATGCCTCCGCTACAAAGTAGCTGGAGGCATTATGTTTTCTGGTTGTCCGTCCGTCCGTCCGTACGTACGTACGTCTCGTTCTCGTGATCGCGTTATCTCAAGAACCAATTGATGGATTCCCTCCAAACTTAGATCATGTATGTATCTAACAAAGCCAATGAACTGAGTAAATTTTGGGGTCATGAGGTCGAAGGTCAAAGGTCACAAGGCTCATTATGTATACAAAAATAGCTCATGATCGCGTTATCTCGAGAACTGATCACTGGATTCCTGCCAAACTTAGGTCATGTATGTATCTAACAGAGCCAATGAACTGATTAGATTTTGGGGTCACAAGGTCGAAGGTCAAAGGTCACATGGCTCATTATGTATACAAAAATAGCTCGTGATCGCATTATCATGAGAACCGATAGACAGATTACTATCAAACTGAAGACATGGATCTTGCAGAGCCAATTAACTAATTAGATTTTAGGGTCATCAGGTCAAAGGTCATGGGGCTCATTATGTATGACTATAAATAGCTTGTGAATGCATAATCATTAAAACCGATAGATGGATTACAATCAAACTTGAATTTTAAAAATTGCTTCCGTTTTGGTTTGTAAAAATGCTCTATGCATGGCGGAGGCATCATTTTTGACTGCGTGCAGTCAAAATTCCATCTTGTTTTTTCAATTGTTCAACATATATCTACATGAAAAGTAAGAGGCATTCATTCCCATGATAATATAGAATTGAACATTACTGTATAATCTCTAAAGGAAACCTCAGCACATCATCTAGCCTATCCGATATGGGTCGGGCTTTACAAGTATTCTAATCACGTTTATTTGGAGAGTGACATCGGCGTGGGCGTCAGCTCGAGCGCCTATCATCACTGGTGCATGCGAAAAGTTTTTCTTTTATGTACAATGTTTCGTTCGTAGAAAATCTACGAACCCCCTGTAAAGCTCTTTCATGAATATTTATGTAGCATGGACCAAAATAGGCCAATGAGCGATGGGGAACCTGGAGATGATATGTGATTGGTTGAATCAAAGTGATCGATCACCAAATAAGGCTAGTCTTATGAATCATGCATGAGAAAACGCTCGTCACACATACGATACACATATATGAATAATGAAGTTGACCAGTGATGATAGGCGCTCGGGCTGACGCCCACGCCAATGTCAGTCTCCATAACGCGATTAGTACACTTGCCATTTAGCCCGACGCCTATCGGATAGGCTACACATCATCTGGTATAAACCAATTTTACTGAATGTCAAGGTGGCAACCTTTGCATGAAATCAAGCTCATTTTGACATCAAGAGTTATGTTTAAGTTAAACCAGTGTGCTGAGAATGAAGCGAAATAGATAGATGGGAACATATGGTCTACCGGTAATCAAGAAGGGAGTAATCAACTTCAGTGAAATTAAAGGCCATGTCAAACTATAATGCCTGGTAGGAATCCTGATGTTTTAAAGCATTTACTTTATTTTAATCATTTGCAGTGAGCAACAAGGAAGATATGGATAACAGGCAAGAACATCAGGAGCAAGTCATCCAGGATCATGAGAATAATGAGAAACTAGCGGAGGAAATTAAACCCATTCACCCATTCCACACCTACACGATACCTGTCGTTGTCATTGCATGCAATAGACCATCTGCCATAAAGCGCAGCTTGAACTCACTATTAGAGTAAGTATTACATTTCAGACTTTTCTGCCCCAGTAACCGTCAACCACATAATCTAGCAGTGAGGTTCCCCAATATTGTCATTTTGGGGGCAGCAAGGTAGTAGAATTATAATTTTCAAGTGAAGGGGAAAAAAAAAATCATTTATTTTGAAAAATATTGCCCTTTTTATGGTAAGATGTTACATGTTGGTTTAAATAGGATACTCAAAAATATAATAAGAGACCATTTCACATTATAAAAATGTTCAATTAACTACAGTATAGATGGAATGAAATGCAAATTTAAAAATCAAGCATTTGATATTTAATCAATTGGGCCTAGATGGCAGTGACTAAAACAAGCATTGACTATATTGTTGGTCTATCACAAACAAAAATATCAAATTTTGTAAAAGCCAATATCACGTATATATGCCACAATTAGAGAAAAACAAAGGAGGTAAATTATTTTTGATGTGCATGAGAGGACATTGATTTTTCCTATAAGTCCAATATGTTTTTAAAAATATTTGTTGATGGATTAAATAGCAGACTTTTCCAAGGAATCAAACTTCTTCCTCTTTCATTTCAAGAGGTAGAATAGTTCCTTTATGCTTCTTGCGTGATCTCTAACTAGCACAAATTGATCCTTACTTTAAAGTCTTCCTCTATCAATTGTCATTCTAAAGCTATTAAATCAGTAAGCTCAAAAGAAAACCTTCATGTATATCCTATCAGCAAGCAAGCGTAATCCACTTTACCTGATAAATTATTCATATTTGCTGGAGTTACATGCATGTTGTTGCTAGACTACTTGTACACACTCCTGTGTACACTTATGTATTCATGAAGTGATAAGAGAGATACAATAACACCTGCTTAGAACCAGAAGGGCATTATTGTTGTATACTACAGCACCAAGTTAATTCCCCTCTGGCCCCGAATATACCATATCATCTGCTGAGAGCCAGCAGGGTACAACTATGTAAAGTGCTATATATGATACCCTTCTGAGTTCTGACTTTCAGAAGATAATACATTGTCCTGTGGGGCAGTGATCAGAACCTCTATACATGCATGTAGATAATATTTCTGAATTTCAATTATTACCCTTATGGCTGTGATGTCTCATTCCTCCAACCAGTTTATGACAACACACACTGTATACTTTAACATGAGAATATATATGATGGAGTCACAAATGAATGCATTGGTTTTCTCTCCTTTTTTTAAAGAGAGACATAATCAGTGCTTGGATATAGTCAATAAATTATAAAGTAAGACAAAGAGAAAACAAAGTTTAAACAGTTCTCTCAGTATTTAAAAGTAAAGCAGTATAATTTCAGCAAAAGTGAAATCTATCATTAACATTTATTCTTTCTCATGTTTAAGAAAGACAGAGCGGGAGAGAGAAAGAGGGAGGGAGAGAGAGAGCGAGATAGAGGGAGAGAGATAGAGGGAGAGAAGTAGAAAAGGGGAGGGAGAGAGAGGGGCAAATAAGCTCAAACATATTGATTTGCTGTATCATATTTTAGTAAAGCAGCTGTGTTCATGCTTTATTACACCTTGTGCATATTTATTTAATATTATATCTCCCATTTTTGAAACAGTACACTGTACATATAAGCATGTAGTTGAAATGTGTTATGCATGAATGAACTGTGAGATGATTGACATTGTACAAGGTCGTGTAGCTTGTCGTTTAATATGACATCCTTATACTGGGAACATATGTTGGGACATACATATACTGGTAGTACACTTTTTGTTAAATTCATGGCCATTGCATAGTATAGCAAGTCTTGTACTAGACCTATCTCCATAGACTCTATATAGTGCCTGTAATATTAATCTGTTGTTAAAAAGACTAAAAGTAGAAAGGTACCAGCGGAACAGATTTTGATAAAAAATTATTAGCTTTGTGATTATCAACAGAAAAGAAAAGAAAGGAAGACATTGGATCTGTGGTCCCATGTGTGCATGTCTGGGTTATTTTTAAAGATTTTTTCAATCCTATATTTAATGACGTCAAGAATAATATTTAAACTTCAACAAAAAATTACTCAAATACATGCACCTGTATGCATTTACTTGTAAAACTAAACTAGTTGGACTTTTATCTGGCATAGTTTAATATTTCTCATGGATTTTTATGAAGATAAGTTGCATGTTTTAACTCTTTGAATGCCTTTATTTGTTTCAGCACGAGGCCATCAGCTGAGCAGTTCCCAGTGTATGTCAGTCAGGACTGTGGTGATCAGAAGACTGCGGATGAGATTAAGACATTTGGAGACAAAGTTGTTCATATGAAGGTAAATTAAATCATGAATTATTAGCTGCCATTGATGACGGGATATTAAAATTGTTCTAGTAACACATGACATTACATGACAATAATTAGATAAAACGTAACTATTGTACTTATTTGAATTATCTCATTAAGGCTATATATATAAAGAGATAAAAACAAAAATAAATCTAATGCTGAATTCTCGCTACCCTAAATAGGTACGAAAATCTCGAAATTCGCGAGACGAGGTAATTTTCACTCTCTCGGGTCGTCACTACAACTTCCGGTATAGAGTCCCATCCCAAGTCACGGCCTTCATCCACCCCCATTTTTCAGGGTTCTTACGCTTGGAATCATGAGCCCAGCACTGTGCAGCCTCACAAAAGAAAACCATCGTCACTGATGTCAAAAGACGCAAAAAACAACGAATGAAATGTTCAAATAAACGTTGAAATATTTGCGAAAAAAAAACAAGACCGAGCAGACGACATATTCGGTGCATACACGTTGTGTGGCGACGGCGTTTTACGTTTGCGCTATCGCGCGCCTGCACAGGAAGCTGTAATGTCGAAAAGCTATCCCATAATGCAATGCGCGTTTTCAGGATTTTCCCCGGATCTCGGCAGAATCGCTATTTGGGGTAGCGAGAATTGATCTAGCTAATAAATGGGATGTATTGTTTTGATACTGGAGTAAATATGATGCTTTTTACTGTAAATTTTGTCCAACTATTTTTGATTTCTTTATATGATTTCTTTTTATTTTCAAACTCATTCAAAGGTTTGATAAATATTGCTTCCAAATATTCAAGTCGTACCGACGAGGCTGACACTGGACCGACGATAGATTGAGAAAAAAAATTACAATCCCCAGAACGGCCCAGAATTGAGCGGTGTGGCGTTGGGTTGGAGTCGGTTTGGAGGTGTGACTAAGGTATCACACTTATGACCTATTTCCCTTGCATCACTATCATGAAGCTTGTAGAAACAATTACATGAATGTTATTTCCATTTGAATTGTCATAGCAACCAGATCTGAGCCCCATCGCCAATCTTCCAGCCAACCAGAAAAAGTTTGAAGGATACTACAAGATATCCAGGCATTACAAGTGGGCCCTGGATCAGATGTTCATCAGGAATTCATTTGATGCTGTTATTATTGTAGAAGGTAAGTCAATTCAAGTGCTGGAGATTAGTGAAAGAGATTCTTGATTAGCCTAAGCCATTTTATTTCTTAGCAATATTAGTTATTTTTGTAAAGGTGGTCTGATGAAAGACAAATAATCAGTGTATGTTTCATCTAAGAGTATGACCTTGTGCAAGCTTGTGAACCCTGTTGCTCTCTATATACAGTATATTAAGTTTATAAAAAATACAGCTGTATGACATATCCATTTCATAACAAATAACAAAACATACTGCATATACTTGCATTTGACACAGCCATTCAAATTTTCTGTTCATTTGCTCTTAAACCCGTCTAGCGTAGATTTCTAAAATAGCAATTGTAGTATAAGGCCATAAAGGATACATATTGTCTCGGTCTCATATTTTGTACCAAGATTATGAATTACAATCTATAGTCACAGAATAATAAATAACATTTCTTTTTCATTTGTAGTTTAAGAAAAAACATGTTTCTTATGCTTTTACCAAACTTATAAAGGATGTCTATACTTACAGAATAACACTAATTTGGTGTAATGGTTTTCAAGGGAGCTACATAAAAGGTAGAATTAATTTTTTCTTGTGAAATTAAAAGCCTTGAAAGAGATCTTAATTACTGTCATGCTTCTGTCTTTCCAGATGATTTAGATGTATCGGTGGATTTCTTTGAGTATTTCTTAGCTACTTATCCACTTCTCAAGGAAGATCCCACTCTATGGTGTGTATCAGCATGGAATGATAACGGGAGGGACTCAAGAATTGAGAAAAATCCAGGTAGGTTTTACAATTTTACTGTAATATTGTTTTGATTTCTCTATACTAGAGTATTTAAGTGCTTTTGCAATCAATTAGTTTAGCAGTACCGGTATGTTTTTGGCCAAGTTTGCATAAAGTAAGTATTGTATAATTCTTAAATCTTTTTATCAAATTGAGAGCTAAAATTTGATTTATTGGAGGATGCTTTGTTATATTGTTTTGTTGTTTTTGTTTTTGATTCACAGTCACCTAGTGTTATTTTTAACAATTAGACTGCCTACATTCTTGAACCTGTTTTATAATAATGATTATATTTTACAGGATTACTTTATAGGACTGATTTTTTCCCCGGCCTCGGTTGGATGCTGTCAAGAGATGTATGGCTTGAGCTGGGTCCAAAGTGGCCAGCTGGGTAAGGTTTAATGCTCCTCATATTAAAATCGTCTAGAAAGGTTGAAATGATAGTAGAATAAAATGAGAGAAAATAAAAGAGAAGGGACACATGGACTAAAATGGAACAGAATGCATTATCTGAGTGCTTTCTTTGTTTACTCCTACTTGGATAAAGAATTATTTTTAGAATTTATCAACAAGATCACCAAATAATGACATTTTCAACAATTTCTTTGAATCAACCTAAGCTAATTAAATCAATTCATATAAATAGGCAAAAGATATGCTCCAGTGAGATTATGAATCTTAATATTTACGAATGACATCAAAAAATAACATTCACAAAAAATTACAAAATTGCTCTCTTTGATTAATGGTGAAGAGATAACCACTTTTGCACAGCTTGCCCAAGTCACCATACCACATCAACATATCATCCTCACTGGTGTCACCCGGCTTGATTGATATTGTAATGTCACATCCAGATAGATAGCTCTGCACACACTGTCATTGCAGTGTGGCAATTGTGTTTGCTTTGTATTATTTGTAATATGGCAACTTCAAGGCAGGTCAAATGAAATTATATTTTTAGCATTTTACCTGTATACCTTATAATCAAATTATGTCATGTAAACCCCTAAAAATAAAAAATTGTGAAGCTCAAGTTTGATCGATTATATCTCTCTTGGAATTTGATAATTATTGCTTTGTTTAGTATCATTAAAAAATATGTTTATTTGTCCTTAAAATGACAATATATTTGTTATGACTTTGCAGCCATGGAACGAGCAGTTCTTCAGAATAAGGGCAGGGTCGAAAGTGAAAAGTTGCAAAACACACTGGTAAGCACTGGTATTGTTTTGAAGTGCACTACACAGCAGCCCTACACTATTCAAATAAAGACGAATGCGCAGCTGAACAGGAGCAGTGCATTTTGCAACTATTCACTTATGACCTTGCCCCTTATGTAGATATAATGCATATTCCTTGAGAGAAATATCGTGACAAATGGGTATCATTTTAAAGCTGACTAAACACACTTTCTAATAATGCTAAACATAGAAATCATTATGCCATATCAAGAGTTATATAATCAATCAGACTGAGTTTCCAAACTTTTTTTGAGGGGTTTAGTTCTTGAAGAAAATTATTTTGTGTCTCTTCTAAATGTTTAATTTATCAACTTTGTCTAAATCACTCAGGTTTTGGGATGATTGGATGAGACATCCAGACCAAAGACGAGGTAGATCCTGTATACGACCTGAAATCTCTAGAACAGATACATTTGGAAAAACTGGGGTTAGCAAGTAAGTCTTGACTAATGTAGTATCAATATTCTTCTCTTTTTTCCCCTTCCCCCCACCCCCAGTTCTTTAGTATTGTCAGTTGTCAAGGAAAAGTGTACTCCGTATATGCATTCATTGATGTTTGTCTCCTGCATTCTTGTTTGATAGCAAATCATCATATAAATTGTTGCTAAGAACATAATGAAGTCAAAATGTTGAGATTTAATTTGAAGTAATTAATTGATCAGACAAACAATTGTCAGAATTGATTAGTTTTGGTAATATACATTTACATCTTGAGTTTACGGATAGAAGTCTCAGTATTGGAATAAAATATCTGATGCAGATATATCATGGTATATATGAACTAAATAAAAAATTCTGCAATTCAGTTAATATCTCTCTTATTACTATAATTCTATATTATATTTGACGTTCGTATCATTGTAAAATCTGTTTATTCCCCTTTACAATATTGTCTCATTGTAACGATTATGTAATCATGGACTTTTTAATAATTGTAATAGTCTGATTTCTGTTTTTGCTTAATGATTATTGATTGCTTTTTAATATGACATTCTCTTTGTATATCTAAATCATTCTTCATTTTTGTTTTGCAGGGGGCAGTTTTTTGAGCAGCACTTAAAGTTCATCACTCTCAACAAAGATTTTTATCCATTTACTACCAAAGATCTATCATATTTATTAAAGGTAATGATGTCATTCATTTTCATGCATCGGTAGTGCGAAATAAAAAAAAAAGTGTTGAATAACTCTCTTAGATTTAAATTATTTTATGTCTTGGTATTGGGCGAATGTACTATAATATCAATAAATGTATGTAATGGTTTCTTGCATAGAAGGCAAGTTATCAATGACACCTTATATATATGCATGTTGCTAATCTATTACACATACATGTAGGCCCCCTTAACTTTTATAATAATTTGTATCCATTGTGTTTTTCTATGTATTCAAGTTTTGTTATGTCTGGCAGTAAATCAGGTCATATTTGAATAAGAATGTTGGAAAGTTTCATAACATATACAAATGACTACACTTTTTTTCCAAGGTTTCCCCCCTTATTTTCATGCATTATTGAATAGCTGTGTATAGATGCAGTCTTTAGCCCTGTAGTGTGACAGTAGAGTCTAAATTGTCTAAAATTACTCAAGAAACAAAAAGTTCAAACGGGAAAGAATTTGCACCTTTTCTAAAGGAATACCGGTATTGAAAATACGAATGGATTCATATAGTTCATGTTCTCTCCCCATCTGCAGAAAAACTATGATTCAGCGTTTAGAGAGCGAGTTTACGGAGTAGATGAACAGACACTTCAGCAGATAAAGATGAGTCAGGGTCGAGGACCGAGTGAGGTTCGAGTCACCTACACTGATAAAACAAGCTTTAAAAGTATTACAAAGGCAGTAGGCATCATGCAAGATTTTAAGGTGAGGATCATTTCAGTAATTAAAACTGTTCTATATAATAATAACTGAAAATGAAAATATGAATGAGGAGGAGAGAGAGATAGAGAGAGACAGAAAAGGGGGGGGGGGGTGGGATGAAGAGGAGGGTTGGATGAGGATGAAGATGATGTTGATGGTGTTTATGATGGTGACGACGATGATGATGATTGTGATGGTGGTGGTGGTGGTGGTGGTGACGACGATGATGATGATTGTGATGGTGAGGGTGGTGGTGATGTTGATGATGATGATGATGAGGGTGATGATTGTGATGATGATGATGGTGATTGTGATGATGGTGATGATGATGGTGGTGGTGGTGATGATAATGATGATGATGATGATGATGATGGTGATGGTGATGGTGATGGTGATTATTTGAAAGTGTTCATCTTCCTTCAGCAATAGCAAACTCAAGCTTGAGTTAGACTGCAGCTGTCATATAATAATTTGTTTCACATCAAAATATAGAGTTAACATGATGACAACATTAGGCAATTTTTAGACAGAAAAATAGATATGTAGTGACCAAACTCGTTTTTACCATTTCAAAACTTGGTTTTTTATTTAAGAACACCGTACAGCATATTGGGTGTGTCTAATTTAAAACATACGTGTCAGACCCGAAGCCTCATTACTTTAATGGTCACGTGGGTCTGTGTACTTACGTTAAGGACAAAGTAGTCCCTTGATTATTTATCTATAAATTGTTTGTAGGTAAAGTTAAATGGACCGTAATGAAATTATGATATTTTCTCATGTATGTTTTATTGTTCTATCCTAAACTTGATTATTATACTTAGTTCAGAAGGATGTGCATTCATGCTCGAAAAGTAGTCCTTACGAATGCGCGCTATGTCAGGCAAGGCCCTGATGGGTATTTTATATAGCGGACATTCGTTCACTTGCTTTAAGCGAAGCTGGTTGTCTCCATTTTACTCCGACACGCTTAAGCTTTGCCGCCAATGTAGCCTGTTTGTGTTGCACCATTTAAACAGCCGCTGAGGCATAAGTTGAGGTTGCTTTATCACCACCACGCTACAAAGCTACAATTGACTATGTCCCACGTCCCACAGATAAATCATTTTTTTCTCTCTGTATATCTCTAATTTATCTACAGTCTGTTGCACCTAGAACAGGTTACATAAGCATAGTAACCTGTGTCTTGAACGGCAGTCTGCATTCAGAAAAGCAGATGTTCTGTTTCAAACTTGAGTAATTACTACATCTAGTTGTCATTAATATACCATATAAATGTATTTCTCTTTCTATATTTCTACTCAATCCACAGTCTGGAGTGCCAAGAACTGGTTACCTTGGGATAGTGACCTGCGTCTTCAACGGTCAAAGGGTATACATTGCTCCAGTGCAACATTGGTCAGGTTACAACCCAAACTGGAGTTAACGAAGGCCCATCTACAGAGGCTATGCCGTCTATCTATCATCCATAGGCTGAGAGGGAGAGACAGAAAGATGTTGTAATTGTGTGCAGAGTTGATGGACGTATACCCTTCTCTTTCTCTTAAACTGTGAAGTTTGAATTGTGAAAAGAGAAGGACTTCAGGTATGTGCAGTACTGCCCTTCTGTTTCTCTTATAGTGGCATCCAGGAGTTCTAAGGTCTGCGAACGAAGCTGGAGATCTGTGCCACCTTCCTGGACTTATGCCTTTCTGTTACTCATCTAAAAACTTCACATATGTGCAGTAAGGCCCTTCTTTTTTTCGTCAGGGAACGATTATGGCATGAAGGTGTTCTGAGATCTGAAAGAGAGATGCTTGGTATATATGCACCGGTCATGGAGTTAAACCTTTCTGTTACTCGCCTGGTACTACGATGTTTGAATTATAAATATTGCCGGAGATTAAGAGAAGGGATTCAAGTATGTGCAGTTATGCCCCTTCTTTTTCCCATCAAAGACTTGAAAATTGAATCAGAGGTCTCAGAGAGATGCCTGGAATCATTTGAACCTTGATCGACTTAGCTTATAATCTTTGCGTTGTTTCAAGTCAAGTTGATGGAGTTAGAGGGACCTTGATACCCTTATTTTTCAATCCAAGATTGTGAATAGCAAGGCCAGTGCCAATGTTGACACTCTTTCAAATGTCAATTCTCACCTCAGATTCCAATGTCTGTGTTCAAAGATCAGCATTTCAGAAAGAGAAGGCATGGTTATATCTGTGCAGAGTGAAGCCCTGTTCACACATGATGCTGTAACCCCCCCCCCCCTTTCCCATAAACAAAATTCACATCATTTGGCAAAATAAGTTACGAAAGTGTTTTGCATCCATCTTATAACACCGATGAGATACTGGGGGGGTGTTTCACAAAGATCCTAAGTCAAATTTAACTCTAAGTTGGACTTAACAATTATGGAGAGCCATTTGTAGCCTTAAAATAAAGTATATTCAAAAGTGAAAATTCAAGATTTTAGACTTTTTATAAATTCCGCATCAAGAGCATGAAATCTCCTTGATAATAGAAAATATGAAGGATTTGAATCAACATTTTATGCCTTTTAAAGTAACTTTTACAAAATATTTTCAAAGATGCTAATGGCTTTCCATAATTGTTAAGTCCAACTTAGAGATAAGTTCAACTTAGGATCTTTGTGAAACACCCCCCAGGTGTAGCAGCTTTTAGCAGGGACCTCTGTCACACACAGCTACTTATTTTATTCGTCATCCCACTTGCCATTCATTTACACATGAAATACTTTTATTTGCTGCTGAAATCTCTTTGATGCGGTGTACTGGGTTATGTGTGAACAAGCTTGAGTGGCCATTCTTAACAAAGGAAAGATGTTTATTATGCTTGAAGGAATGGTGTTTATATGTTCATTCCCAAGTCCTTGAATCCTGACAATGCAACCATCTTGCTTGTAGGGAGAAAGTCTAGTTTTCTAGATGGATGCTCAAACTTGGTAATGTCGTTATAAGATGGATGCTGTTACAGTAATCCAGAGGTAATTTTAGATACATTGCTTTCCGTCAATAAAATAGAATATAAGACTGAGAACTTATTATAAACATGGTGAATACCTTAATTTTTTTTCTAGGGCAAAGTCCTAAATATACAGTGAAACCTATATATAAAGACCAGTCATTGGAGACATATATAGGCAGGTGGTCATTATATACCTGTAAGTTGCTTAAGTACACACCAGTGACATACACCATCCAAGGGAATCAGACATGTTGGCCTTTATATTGAATTGAATTAAATTTACTCACCACTTTCATGAAAAAACAAACATGCCAAGTCAAGAATACAATAACAGATTTCTTACAAATATCGTTAAAACAGGTGGTCTTTCTATGCATTTGGTGCTAAAGCAGGTTTCTTTGTATGTCAGCCTTGGCGGTGCATGCTGGGAAATCAAAAGAAAAAGGTGCTGATATACCTATCTCGTATGTTAATTAGCTGCTAGCTCTGATCATCCCATCCAAGCAATGCTCCAACCTTAACCGGGTTACCTTCATAAAAATCTGTCGTGAAACAGAATTAAGTAAATGGCATGTTTGTGTCATAATGTTCTCAGACTTAATAATAATATTGCATTTAACAGTTGTAAGCAGAAATAGTTGATAAATCCTTTTCAGTAAGTTTGCATTTGCATCTTAATGTTTTCTCCTAAAAAATTCCCATCTATTAAATAACCATTTCTCATATAAGAGATGAAAATTCTTAAATCTTTAATAAAGTCACCTAATACTGCTCTAGTTTCATGCTATTATACCAAATAATCATTTCATATGATATAATTATGAAAAAAGAGAAACTGTTGGCAGGGTATTGTATTCATTGTCAGCTATGCTTCCTACAATGAAAAAAAGGTATTATCAGATTGAGGTTTTGGACACTAGGAGATGTGGACATTCAATGTAAAATCAATGTTATGTACAGTCTGTATCTGATTGTCAAAATCATGTGTGTTTATATTGTAAAAAAAAGAAAGATGCTCTTGATTTTTTAAATGCAATGCCAAAGTATATATTGAGTGCAAAGGAACTTTTTGTTGTGTGCATGATTAAAATACATGTGCAGTGAAACTCTTTGATATATACAACTTTTATGAATGTCCCTGCTATGTCTTTCTGTGTTGGTTTATTAACTAACATTTTGAATGATAAATTTGCTTGCATAATCCCTTTTTGGCACACATCAAATCATAGATTGAGAGAATATTTATGTTTTCCAGTCAACCTGCATGATTGCACGCAAATTTAATTTTCTTGATACTTGCCAGTTGCCAGTTCAAGTTCTGCCTCTTGTGTTATTAGGGGCATTATCATGCAGAGCAATTAGTCAGATTTAAACATCAATTTTTGAATTTAAATAAATATCTTGCTAATACGGATGAGTGCTGTTCGTGTGAAAAATAATGAGTATTAGATTTTGATATATTCCATCCTACAACAAACCATTTTTAAATCCCCACAACGCCAAATCAAGGCCAGATTCATATGATTTGGGGTCTCTAATTTTAGCATGCACAATGCGGGTTATTATCTTGATGTGTACATACCTTGTGAGATGTTTTTCCCCACATGTGGACGGGCCTACATTCTGAGAGTGTGTGAATGCCCCTATTGTATCCAATTATTATTAGAACTATTAAACTCTTCCTGTTTATCTTCTTCCTAATATTTTTCTATTTTTTATAATTTTTATCATGTTTTGGGTTGTGTAAAAATGTTGATACTGGTTGTTGGTCACAATGGGACTAATTCTAGATTTTCTTTATAGATTATGATATTGTGTGTCCATGAAAGATGTATAAATTGATTCATAAAAGTATAATGTTCAGGTTATTGCATTCCATGTGTACTTATGTGTAGTTAAAGCTTTCTTTCCATCTTTATATCTACTGAAGTTGTTCAAAATATGACAAATTTTGTAAGAGATTGTTTCTGCCCATGGTATATGACAGGAAAGGTGATAGTATAGGATGATTAGCTTTGAAGGATTCTTTGTTTTATAATTGCCTTTCCTATGAACTCACTTCTTTTGTTGGTTATCCATAAAGTAGAACGTAGAAATGTTGCTACACCAAGACAAAAAAAAGTGATTCAAGTATTCTGTTTCGGGCAAGTCCAAGGTACTTCTTTTCCTGTCCATTACCAACCTCACTAATCAGTGGGTTCTACAGGAGTAAATTTGGAAATGTTTTTACAGAACCAAGAAGGCAAGCTTGCTATTCCATTAGCGTTGGCATTATAATCTTATTATAGTTTGTTTCTACAGTGCCACATAAGTGCCAAAGTCCAGAAAAGACCAGACAGTAACAGTATTGGAAGTCAAAACATGCCGAAAGATTTTAGTTTGCCTGATGGTTGTATGAAGTAGATAACCTTACTATGTCTCAGAAGAGTTAAGAGACCAAGAAAAATGATGATAGTTTCAGTGTTCAGTGTGTTTTCAATTCCTTGATACTTGCTAACATGTGGGACACAGAATGACCAAATACAGTGGGCTTGCCTTTTTTTTTTACTTTTCGAAATTTAGTAGTAGTATGCTGCACTATATTGTATTTTTGTCATATGTTTTTTTTTCTTTTTCAATCGCTCTTTTATGTTTCTTTTAACTTGTTATATTGCTAACAATCTTTTTCTTTAGTGAAAGTTTTGGGTATATTATGTTGTAATTTCATGTGTAAAATATGATTTCTATTATATTTGTAATTTCTAACAAAAATCCATTTATGGGTAATATTAACAAGTTTAACTTTGACATGGTGACAATCTAAACCCTCCAGTTGTGCATGTTCAATTCCATCTGATTATTTCATGTTAGTTTTTTATTGATTAATCTGATTAGTTGTGTTTATTCTTGTTCTTTGTGAATAGCGAGTTGTACATTTCAGTAAATACAAAAGAATTTTATAGATTTTAAAAGAATTTGCTATTGTGGTGCATCATTGTGAAATGGATTGCTATTGTATTTTTATAAATTTGTTGAAGTGTAACCTAAAGCCTGACTTTTTTTTGGTAGCTTTGATTATTTTTAAGAGGTGATAAGGAAGACATAAAACTATTAGACCTACTTGGATTCTAAAGATAATATTTTACTTCCCCTCTTACTATTTGTCCTGGTAGTTGTATGACTATTTCATCAAACTTTCAAAATTGTGCATTCTCTTTTTACCATATTTGTTGTGGTACACATGTAGCAGGAAAGCAATTTTGTTTAAAAAGAGATTAAAAAGCTGTGGTTCAAATGGTATTTTCAGCAAACTTTATAGAGTTTTATGAGAATATTAATCATATAAGTTAATCCATAGAATGAAGTATCAGTTATATTGTGGGAAATATGTCTATTATCTGAAGTACATGTTTTATTTTTATTTTTTATGGTTATTTTATTTTTGACTTGTGTGTACTGGAGTATTTGTCATGTGAGTCAAGTAACAATTTGATACTTTGTATTTTATTTATTAATTTTTTTAAAATAATTTTTCTAGTACTTTTTTGTTATGGCATGTGATCCATCATCCTTCTCTTCAGCTTTAAATAGAATTTTGACCAAATTGATGACATCATAAAGTTGACCATTCAGCAATATTTTAACATTCCAGAATGGCTTGATAAATCTGACAGCTAAGAAAATGTTTTATCCAACTCGGTTGATAATAGTTGTTTGGGAATATGATTTAGTCTTGCTTTCAGAATTTTGAA